TTCTTCACATGTCTCTAGGCTCCATGCGCCTCCTCCAGGTCTCCTTCTCCATCCTGCTTCCTTCCTCCGTCTCTTCTGCAGCTTTTCCTCTTCCTGCTCAGCTCCACCCTCCCTTGGGTGGGGCAGGGAACCTCCCCTTTTCCTGGGGACCACCCTGTTGCAAAGTAATGTGGAAAATACAGAACCAGCATCAGATGCAAAGGTAGAACCAAGAAATCCTCAACTGGCAGAAGAGAGCATGCGTGTATAATGCAAACTATTCACTGATACATAAGTTTAACAGGTGTGCTAAGCAATCAATTTGATAAGACAAGAAAAACACCATTCTTATCACTTTGTAGGTAACATATCCATAGCACTGCTTTAACGAGGGAAACTGACTCTTCTCCACTACTGGTATGTCACGGCTATAAGAACATGACTAAATGAGGACAAAAGAAACTTTCTAACAGAGCTGTCCAAAGGACCATGAGAGCAAGGGCACTTCAAGTGGCTGTGACTTACACGTGCTACTCTGGTGTAGACTGCATGTACACCAACCCACCAAGCTGTTCCTATGGATTAAAGAGGGGTGCAAGTTCTTGGCAATTCTTCTCTTTCAGAGCTATAGACTCATACTCCTCCCATGGATTTGATTTGGACTTTGTGACTGCTCCACTAGCAGAATGTGACAGGAGGGGTGTTCTGGAACTTTTGAGACTAGTTAGAAGTCTTGCAACTTCTAGATTCCTTACAATACTCACCCTGAGGAAAGTCCACCACTCTATAAGATGTTCGTCTACACTGAGATTGCCATGCTGTGAGGAAGCCCAAGCAGACATACCGAGAAAGAGGGAGATGGATGCCCAGCCAGCCCCAGCTGTCCCAGCCACACTAGCCTAGCACCAGTTATGTGTATAAAAAAATCATGTTGAACATTCCAGCCTCAGTAAATACATGTGGAAAAGAACCAAGAATCCCGGCAAACAGCCAGAATCTAGGCTGCAGGCCTGTGCCCCAGTTGAGCTATCCCAGCTGATAATCCAACCCAGCTCCAGAATAAGGCTCTCATTATAAAGAGCAGGGATAAGACCCCCTGCTGTGTTTTGTCTGAATTTCTGGCCTATAAAATCATGATCATAAGAAAATGGTTCTGACTTTCTGCTGCTACATTTTGGAGTAGTTTGTTATGCAATAATAGATAACTGAAACAGAGAAAAATTGTATTACTCAGCTATTGTCATCATAATACAGGATAACATATGACTTCAAAACTCAGGTGGGTTTCAACAACAGCATTAATTATTTTCATTTGCAGGTTTGTGCCTTGCCCAGGGTGTTCTTCAGGGTGCCCAGGGAAGCATCTGAGCTTGTTAAAGGCTACAGGCTGGATTCAGACATACTCATATGTCACTTATTCCGGTGCTAGGAACACCATCTACTTGGAGCATTTGGGTGCCATGTATATAAAATCTAAACGTAACTCTACAAAAACATGTTGGCACCTCTGCTCACTTCACATCCATTTATTCCACTGGCCAAGTCGGTCACATTGTCAAGCTCAAAGTCAAAGGGTGCACACTCCCACTCAGGTGGGAGGAAGAAGGGAGTATTGCTGAGCCATACTCCAACCTACTGAGAGAGTCACGCATCAGATGGTGGTAGAGATGGTGAGTGATGCCAGATTCAACTGCCATCAGGCAGGGGGTAGAAAGAGCAATGACCTTTCTTTTTAAAAGCACTTCCTTAAAGTTGTACACACTTTCCTTTGTATGTTTCCTTTGCATGTCATTCACCAGAATTGGGCCCATGACCACAGCTGGCTGGGAGAGAAGTTAGGAAAGGTAATCTTTATTTTATACAAGCATATGCGTACTTAAAAAAAAAATCAGTGCTTCTATTACTAAAGAAGCAGGAAAGATGAAATTAGATAAAGATATTTGTATAATTTGGCATCTATGCATCCAGAACCCAAGATAACAGAAAAAGGTGTTATGGGGGCAGGTGCCAAAATACAGGAATCTATTATTTTTTGTATGAAATACTTACAAGCAGAAGTTGTATAAAATATTGAAGAGACAAAGATAAACATAGTGGAAGCACAAAAGGAGAGGATTTTAAACAGAAAGGAGAGGGGGGGAAAAGAAGGCAGAAAAATTAAACTCTTTATCAGTGATGGAGAAGGCCAGGAGCAGTCAAGAAAACGGTTTCCTGATTTACCTCACATGTAGGTAGATGTTGGGAGCCTGCTGCCCTAAAGGGAGCTGGAGTTTTTGGAGAATACCTGTTTACTCTGCAGATGAGTTCCAGGACGTTAGAAGTTCTGCAAACAGAACTTCTTCCCAGAATTGAATCCTGTTCTCTGAGGATGTGCTGGCCTGTGCGCATGTTCCCCACTAACCAGGAAAACTTGTTTTCAGCAGTAACTTATTAATCTGTACAAGCAAGAACACATTTGTGTGCTATTTACTTGTTCCTTTGTTCAAAACTTCAATAAAAGCTTGGGCTGGGAGAGTGAAAGGCAGAGCTGCTCTCGATGGCACTCTCCCAGCCTCCCCCCACTGCAAATTCATTTACACTCCAAGTCTTCGTTAATGGCAGAGAACTCCATCGGCTGTCCTGACTGCAGCAGGTAGAACAGGTAGACAGCAGCCCATCCCCGGAAAACAGTCGCAAGAAACCAACTCCTTCTTTTGAAGAGGTTTTGGGAGTTCAGTGACAGATGCATTTGGCATAGCATAAGGCACCCCCAAACACTGCTGTCCAACTCAGACCACACGTATGACCAATGAAAATGCCAGTAATGCAGGGAGTCCCCCATTCCCACTTGAGGGCTGACTATTAACACGGATGTGCAGTGCGCAGTAACAGCACCAAAAGCCACGGGCAACAAGCAGAGCGAAGCAAGAGGAATTTAGAAAGGCTTTGGGAGAGAAGGGTTATTTGAACTGGGACTGGAAGAGGCAAGAAAATGTGGGAGCAGCACACAGTCTTGTTTTCAATGCATGGATAGAGAAACAAGGCTAGAGAATGAACTGATGCCAGATCTTGGTAGGTATTGAACGGCAGAATGAAAAGCATATTTTTGTTTCAATGAGAGCCACTCTAAGTTTTTCAACAGGAGTGATATGAAGTTGTCCTCTAATATTTAATTTCATCTTTCCTGCTTCTTTAGTAATAGAAACCCTGATATTTTTAACTAGGCATATGCCTATACAAAATAAAGATTACATTTCCTCACTTCTCTCCCAGCCAGCTCTGATCACGGGCCCAATTCTGATGAATGACATATAAAGGAAATAGTGTGTGCAACTTTTAGGAAGTGCTTTTAAAAGGAAAGGGCATTGGTTCCCCCTGCCCCCCCCCCCCCATGGAAGTTGAATCTAATCCTAGCATGTGTATTTATCATTAGGAAGATTGGCCTAAGGCAAGGCAAAATACAGGATGGTTGGAATAAGAGGAGTATTGAAAGTGGAAAGACTAATTAGGAGAACATTTGGATAGTCAAGAAATGAAGAAATAAGAATTGGTAGCAGTGAGAATGGATGGGTGGGGTGGATATAATAAATATTGCAAAAGGTGTGTCTTTAGGACATGTCAATTGATCAGATGAGAGAAAACACTTGAGAAGGAAAAAGCAACCATCACTTGGAAAGTTCAAGCAGAGGCGACTAGGCGGTTAATCATGTTGGTAACAGAAATATGAGAATCCGAACAGCAGACCTGAGGAAGGCAATCAAGAATTCAATTTTGAACATGTTGAGCTGGGATGCCTGCAGGATATCCAGGTGGATAAGAAAAGCAGGCAATTGGAAATTCATTTCTGGAGCATGATTTGAGTCTTTTGCATAAAAGTGCAATCAAAACAAAGGGAGTGGCTAGTTGGCAAAAAAAAAAAAAGTGTAGAAAATACTTTCTTCAATGCACACAGAAAAATAAAGTAAAACCAGATTAAAATATATACAGCTCTTCACCTTACTTCCCCTCAAAACACAACAAACTCCAACCATTGGCTGGTTGGCTTCAACCTACAAAATCCTCACTCTATCAAAATTTGGACAGCTCCTCAAAGTTGCTTATGAAGGCATTTTGAGTTGCACAAATATGTGTCATGACTTGTTTTAAGATGACTCCCCTTCAGCAAGAAATCTATAGTAAATTGACTCTTTCCTTAATTCAGACTAACCACAGGTAAGATTCCCCTTTCACAGAAGTCTTAAAAGAACAATCCCTTTCAAAGGCAGAATAAGGAGATACAGAAATCTAATAAATGTGACAAGACTGAAAACACTGCAGAGGTTTCTCTTATATCCACCTGACCAGAGCAGATGTCAAGGAAAAAAAAATCGAATGTGAACATTAAGGAACCAGCTGATTAGACGACTGTCCACGCTGTTTTCCTGCGTGGGGCTGGGGTTCGGGACATGAAAGAATTTCAAGTCCGGTGGTGAGAGGTTGCCTAATAGGAACGCAGCTGGAAGTGGTGGTAATTGGCTTCTGTTTCTTCTAGAAGAGTTTGCGCCTTCAGCCCCCATGCCATAGACAGTGGCTATGTCATCCAGGGCTTATCCCAGGGCCCCAAGCCAGGCGCCGGGAACGCCCTGGTCCACACAGCAGCAGGGCCTGGCGCTCGCTGGATTGGGTGTCACCACAGACTTCGTTTCACTAATGGGTGAAGTCTTGTCAGAGGCCTTAGTGAGCACGTGATAAAGCTTCAAATCCATTCACTCATTCATCCATGCACATCTCATCCTCTGAGACGGCAGCGCAGGGGCTGGGCACCCTGGAGCGCCTTATCACTCGCAAGTCTACAGACTCCCGAAAGAGGGGATTTTACGCGGGAGAAGAACGCGGCAGGAGCTGGATTCTAGACCCCCTCGCCACGCGCCGCCCCTTCGCGAGAGCTCCACGGCCGACCCGGGGCCGAAAGCCAGCCTGAAGGAAACCCTCCCCTCCCCCTGGACGAGGAACTCTGGAGCGTTCCAAATTCTGCCGGCCCTTCGCCCCAGCCCCCGGCCGGCCCGAGCGGCCCCGGCAGGTGCCAGCGAGCCCAGCCCGTCCGGCTGGCCGCGTCCCCCGCGGTCCCCGGGAGCCGGGCGCGTCAGCGGGGCCGGGAGGCTGCGGGCGCGGGGTTCAGGGCTCCCGGCGGCGCCCCACTCGACCGCCCCTCCCCCGCTCCTGAGGTCCGGGGCGGAGGCGAGGGGCGCGCGGCGCCGGCGGCTCGCGGGCGCTGATTGGGCGGAGCCGCGGGGGCGGGGCGGCGGGTTGAGGGGGCGGGGCGGCCCCCTCCCGCCCTCCCTCCTCCGGCCCGCGCTCTCCCGGCCGCTCGCTCGTTGCATCATCCCCAGCCCCGCCGCCTCGGGGAGACTGGGCGCGGCGCGAGCCACTCCGCCTGGCGGTGCAGCCCGCAGCCCCGCGCCTCTCCTCGTCCTCGCCGCACCTGCCCGGTGCCCTGGCCGCGGCCCCGGCGCGTGGGTTCTCGGAACCCGCCTGCTCCGCGGCTGGCCTCGCCGTCTCCGCCCGATCCATTCATTGAGAGCCTGGTCTTTCCCCAGAGCCCAAGTCCCCAGCCTCCTTCCAGCGATTAGCCGAGTCAGCGCCATGGAGAAGAGCGGCGAGACCAACGGCTACCTAGACAGCGTCCAGGCGGGGCCCGCGGCTGGGCCTGGCGCTCCGGGGACCGCGGCGGGGCGCGCGCGCCGCTGCACCAGCTTCCTGCGGCGCAACGCGCTGGTGCTGCTCACCGTGTCCGGAGTGATAGCGGGCGCGGGGCTGGGCGCCGCGCTGCGCGGGTTCGGCCTGAGTCGCACGCAGGTCACCTACCTGGCCTTTCCCGGCGAGATGCTGCTTCGCATGCTGCGCATGATCATCCTGCCGCTGGTGGTCTGCAGCCTGGTGTCCGGCGCCGCCTCCCTCGACGCCAGTTCTCTGGGGCGCCTGGGAGGCATCGCGGTCGCCTACTTCGGCCTCACCACGCTGGGCGCCTCGGCCCTCGCGGTTGCGTTGGCGTTCATCATCAAGCCCGGGTCTGGCGCGCAGAGTCTTCAGTCCAGCGACCTGGGGCTGGACCAGTCGGGGCCTCCTCCGGTGCCCAAAGAGACAGTCGACTCTTTCCTCGACCTGATCAGGTAATGCTCCCCCACCTCACGGAGGGCACATGGGAGATGCCCGCTCTCTAATGCTCCTTGGTTTACACACACGCACGACCTCATGTGCACCTAAGAGCATTCATTCTTAATCGGCTGCTCGTGGCGCTTAACATTTCTTAAATATCAAGATACTGTCTGGAGTCTGCATGCTAACCACACCTTTGCAAACATCAGTCGGTGCGCACGCGACAAGCTGAAGGAGCCGGGCCTCAACTTTTAGCTAGAACCGGTCCAACCCTCAGGTGGGAGTGTGTTAGGAAAAGGCCAGTCTTCTCACCTGTACTTTACTCCTGACACTCAGGGTATGCTCTCTGGAGTAAAAATGTTACAGCCATTCTCTACTTTAGTTCTGGGAACATCAGCTAAACGTTGCCTGTTTCACTGTCCTGGATGGCCTTTGCTCTTACTATATTATAGCTGGATGGCCTTTGCTCTTTCAGCCATCAGGCTGCAAGAAGCTGTCTGTTTTCTCAAGAGGTACTAGTAGATCCAAGAATAACAAGCCTAGGGTTAGTTGTTCGGATCCATTGCCCAGAAACGTGCTTCTCCTGGGGACCTAAGGCAGGTTGTTGCCCACCCCAGAGTCAGGACCACTGTCGCCTGTTCTGAGTTTCAGTGGCTTTATTTTGGGGAAAGCGAGTTCTGGAGGGAAGGGAAAGAGAAGTGGCTTCATTTAGCATTGCCTGCTTTTGTCACTTTAAACAAGTTGTGCTTCATCCCATGAGAGGTAGTATAGCTTTCTGAGGACTGGTTGAAGCTGCAGGCTCTGTTGGTTTCTCCATTATCCCAGGTTCGCAGATAGGGAAACTGCAGCTTGGAAGTATTTTCTGACCCAGCCAGGCTCAGATGAATGGGGTGGTCAGCTGGCTCCCCCTCCAAATGCTGGTTGTGCTGCTTTTGGAACCTTGGAAGATATGTTTTGTCATGGTTGGCTGAAGCAAAGCTCCTTGTTGTTGATGCTGTGAAAAACCACGGACCCTGGGCAAAGTGACTTGCCTTCCTGCTGTTTCCATTTCTCTCTCTGGAAAATATGATGATCGTCTGCCTCTTAGGAGAGTGCTCATTTAAATCTGCTAAAACAGCAAAAACAGTCCAAGGCATTCAGATTGAAAAGAATCTTAGATGAGATGAGAAGGATGAAAAATACATTTTTTTTTTACCAAAATATCTTACCAAAAAGGCAGGTGGAGGTGACCTACTAGGACTTTGATGAACTTACAGCCTGTTTATTGTCTGGCAGCTTGGTGTTTGCAGTCTTTAGAGATCTTAAAGTTTGAGTACTAACTTTTAGGTGGGTGTTTAAGAAAAAAGTTTACTGAAGTTAAGAGTATCTTTGCCTTATTATACCAGTTAGCAATAGCAATATATTGGTCAGTTCTCCCCTGGAGGGAAGGTGAATATGGGGTTATAGGATAATTTTTTGCAGAGATCAGTGGTCCATTGAGGAGTGTGGGTGCCCAGCACTGATCTGTTAGTACCCCATAGGGAGGCTCAGCAGTCCAAAAGAGGAAGGTAGTGTCAAAAAAATAGCAGGCAACTTTTGTAAGGTGGGAATTACCTTATTACCACCAGCCCCAGAAGGGATATTTTATTTCCAGATCATGGCTTTCTAACTTTTGCTCCACACCCTTTCATCTGCTTCTGAGGTGAATGGTGACCCACCATCTGCACCAGTGTCGGTGCAGACTTTTCAGGGACTTGCTGAAGATATAGGAGAGGATGAAAGGACTTTGCTGTGGCTTGTTGAGAATAATGCTTCCAGCGGCTGACCTCACTGAACCCAGCAGCTCCTGAATAAAGCGAGGGCAGGTAGAATGATCCTATTTTGTGCCTGAAGAATTTGAGGCACAGTTCAAGTGATTTTCTCAGGTTACAGAGTAGTCATCAAAAGATGGGTTAGAAGAACCATGGTTTCATGTCCCATAGTTAAGAGTCCTATTTCTCTCACACTTCCCTCCTTATGCCATAGCATTGAAGCTGTGCTGCCGTTCTAGTCCAACAGTCTCAGCAATATTTGCTGGGGTGAGGGGGGTATGTTCCAGGAGGGACAGAGAGCCAGGTGGAGTGGAGTTGACTGTGGGCACTTCAGTGGTGGGGAAACTGTCGTGACTACACCTGAGGGGACAAATCCTATATTGTGAAAAAATAAACAAGGATGATTACAAAATAAAATGAAATAAATGTTTGCTCTGGGCCAAAAGAGGAACCGGGAAGAGTATGGTGGTGTCAGGGCAGATCCCCACTTCTCTCACAGAGAAGCTGAGCTCCTCCAGTCGAGAAAGGCACGTGGGCCGCTGCTTAGACGTGGCTTTCACGTTGAGCAGCTTGTGAGAGGAAACTTGAGTCCTAAGCCACATGAAAATTCTTCTTGGGTTTGGGGAATCTGTGAGTAAAAATTTTTGAATTGCTTTCTTCAGAGAAACCTGATGGATGCCAGTTTTATGTGGGTCTGAGCATATTCTCTGGCAAAGCAGGGCCCCGTCCTTTCTGCTTGTGGACACGTGAAATGAAACTCTGCCGGTGAAGACCAACTAACTACCCAGCAGACCCTCTCCTGGTAACTGCCCAGAACATCAACACCTGGAAGGAGTGGGGACTTCTGATGACTTAGTGCAGTTATTGCCAAGGTTTTGTTGAAGTCCATGGCATGTCCGGTGGTGGAGTGCCCCAGAACGCCTCCAGGATCTCTGTGCCATGATTTCCTGTTTATTTTTATTCCAACTACAAGTCAGGGAGAAATGAAGCCAATAGGTGTTTGTCATGTCTTTTAGAAAATTCAGAATGCCGTTGCCAAGAGGTTTGATTTCCTAACACAATGCACTAGAAATAAAGTAGGCAGGGAGTGGGTGTGTGGTGCCGCTAGCAGAGGCTTTGGAGCGCTGAGAAGTGTGCCTGTTGATAGCAACTCGCAGGTCAGAGTCAGTCTTCTCCCCAGCAGCCCGAGCTCTATGCCTGGGAGCCTGGGACAGTACAGAACTCTCAGACCTGGGAGTGACCCAAGTGATTGAGTTTTGAGTTGTGACTTTTCATCTGAAGTGAAATCATTTGGGCACCAAAGAGACAGAAACAAGTGATCAGGAACCCAGTCATTGTGGACCTTCTTGGTCCCTGACAATGGTTACTGGCTGTGGATCCTAGGGTGTGTCTGTAACCTGCTGTGCCCTGGTTTCCTCCTCTTTATAGTGGGGGTCTTCATATTACCAGCATGAAAGGACTGTTTGCAGAGTTAAATGAGTTATGTCTATAAAGCTCTTAGAACAGGATTGGCCCGCTATATGCTTGTTCTTGTTATATGTGGAGCAATATCCTAGAGCTATTGGATTTTTTCCAGTTTACATGAGCTAATGGAGATGGCCCTCTTTTCATAGTCTGAAAGAAGTAAAAGTAAACAGGAAAAGCTCGAGGTGACTGGAAGTGGAGGCTGTCCTTAGGTTGGTTGGGAAACACATGGACCTAGCGAAAAAGAAGTGAGAAGTGACTATGTTTTCAACTAATAGAATCAACGCTAGGAGAAATTTGGAAAATGGAAACTAAACAGAAGAGTCTTCCATTCTAAAATGGGGAGAAATCCTCACAAACCCAAAGTTGACCTCAGTTTTCTGCAGCTATACGTGATAAGGATTGAGTTATCTGGCTTCCATCATTCCTCTGGGTGCTAAATTTGTAGTTTTCCAATGGAGAAGCAGAGGCTTATCTGCAAGGAGGCAGGTAGAGGCAGCTCCTGGACCCAGCTCCTGTCTGCACTGGCAGCCAGAAGAATGCCGCCGGGCCACTGTCTTTCCAGAAGGGCGCTGCCATGTGCCTGGCAGCCACAAATGAGATTTTACCTCTTGCCAGTTTTCTAAGCTTTGTTTGTGGTTGTGCTCATTTTCTCAACAGCGGGCAGTGCTACAAGCCTTCCATTCGCAGGGTGAGATGTAAAGCTTGTGTGAAGGACTGGCCGTGAATAGGATGCCTCACAAGCTGCAAAGAAAACATTTCTTTGCTGTCTGCAAGGAAACTTATGAGAGACTGAGATCTAATGTTTGCCCCTAGATCACAGTGAAGGTAGTAAAACTTCTTAAATTAAATCTGAGTTTAAAAAACGTGGCAGGTTGTTTGAAGGTGAAGACTTAGCAAGTCTAACAAGGATTTGAATTAATGGAGACTCTCAACCTAACTGGACACTAAAGGAAAACAACCACACTTAAACAATGTAATTTTGAAAAAATGTTTTAACTTGACACCATTCTTTCTACTACTCAGGGAAACACCTTAACTAGTTCAGACACTTCATGATTAAGAGCAAACAATTTAGGTTTGAATCCGGCTCTAACATTTACTAATAATACGGACAAATCATTTAGTCTCTCTGTGCCTCGGTTTCCTTATCTGTAGGTGAGGCTAATAATAGTATCTACCACCTAGAGATGTCATGAGGATTAAATGAATTGATATTTGCATCTCTTGTTAATATTCTGGTGTAGTCTGCCTCTCAGGGACAGGTGAAGGCTACTTAATGCAGAGAATGAGTAGTGCTCTTAGCTTATTTCTCCAAAAGTCTCACCCCAGAGGCTCAGCATTGACCTTTCTAAAATTGGATGTGGGCTTTAAAAAGTGAGTAGATTACTAGCCACCCCCCACCACTGTCATCATAGTGTGAACCTACTACTCCCAGTCTTTCTTTTGCCCCCTGCCTGGTAGGGGGTACCAAGATCTGAAGGGGCATATCCTTGTTAACTGACTCTGTAATAATAAACACCAGGGATGATAAATATTTATCAGGTATACATACCATCCCATATCCTGTTGCAGAGCCTTTGAAATTTTCATAAATTTGGTAAAGAATTTTAAAACTTAAATAAAAGGAAATACTTCTGGAACAAAAAATATACCTAAGCAGAAGTAAATTGTTTTACATTCTTCTCATATAGCACAGGGAAATGCACCCCACCCTTGACAATGGGATCAGAAGAACAAACAGCACCAGGTGTATATAG